TTAATGTTGGTTTAGTAAGGGTTTTTTAAGTTTGAATTTTTATGTGTCTTGAAATTAATTCAATTTAAGAAATTTTGTTTATGTTATTTAGAAAAATATTAACATAATCCACTCTTTTTGTGCTAATACATAATTCCTTTTGGCTTCTTTTTACTTCTTAAGTACATTGACTTTGGGTTTTCCATATTATGTTTTCTGGTAGAGGTTTACTGATATTTCAGAGGAATTTACTGTCTCCATCTTCATGGTCAAAAAGTAAGCTAAGGAAGCAAGTGGCGCAAATGGAGTGTGGGAAAAGTGGTGCAGGTATGGATGGGTAGGAGCTTCAGGTGAGCCAGTTGCTGTAAGGAGAAAAGTAGTAGTGGCACTTCAAGGGGAAATTTTGTGTTCCAGGTAAGAGGTTGGCAAATGGAACACTTTTTCCATGCTCAGGTTACGCTGCTCGCTTGGTTTTGATCTTTGACCCTGAAGGTGATAGCACGAGTATGTTTGCCCAAAAGGTTAGTGATTTTTAACCAGACTATATGGTGCCACATCCCAGAAAGTGGCCCTCACAATCATCACCATGAGAATATGAGTAAAAATCACACGTAATGGGGAAGTTGAATCTGTTATCCTTATGTTCTCCCTATAAACTCACTTATTAAATTGTATGTTGAGGGATTAATGCCTTAAGTGTTCTAATAAACTTGGGTTAATTTCATTACAGTGTATCTCATACTTTACATCAGGCATGTCCACCTTCAAACAGGTTGTGATCAACTTTTTACTGTCAAAACTGCCAGTGATCTACCACCCCATCCTATCATCATACCTCACTCTAAGCAAAAATATTGGTAAAAATAACATGACACATGATGTTTGTTGTAAAAGCAACTAGTAACTGGGCTGTCTCTGATGACTGTAGATTCATCCAGTTGGAGGGAAAGAGCAACACAGTTGGAAACATCTTTCAACAACTGTTCAGTTATGTTTCCACACATCATTTCTAGTGAATCACATATTCTGTCGATCACTTTTACATCAGCACATTCGCAGCTAATGACAAGTGATGAAATAAGAGTTCACATGATAAGGATAGAGTAGGGACTTCCCCACAGTTCACTTAACACAAATATAAACCAATTTTCACGTAAGCTACATAAGAACAGAAAAATAGGAATGGCTAATGTGTATTTTCCCTTCAAAACCTGAATATAATCATATTATATCACAAGTGAATTTACATGCTTTTCACATATAATTTCCTTGTAGGCCTATGAGATTGACCAAAAATTGTCCCACAATCGACGTGTTGGACCTGCCTGCTTTACATGATGCCACATAATCAGAAGTAATCCAAGGCAACCGCATAAAAGAGAAAACAGCTTTATACTGTGCAGCAGAGTCCTTAATCACAACAGCCTGTACATGTGAAGATGGTCAGTTGGTCCGAAACACATAGTGTCAGTAAAAAAAAGTGATGAGTAAATAGTAACTGACATTGTACGTAGATGGTATAAAATCAAAACGCAGTCAGATCTGTGCAGTGAATCAGGATGCTGCAGTATAACATTTTTAACAGTGCTGAATATTGAAAATTTTAAACATAATTTGACAGAAATTTATAAATTATTTAAAGGGGTAACATTTGTGTGAATATGTCATACAGGTTACAGATTGTCTTATTTATTAAAATGTCAAATTTAAATGCATTCACAAGCCACTATGACCCAGTCTGTGCATATTACTTCTTATATGCCTGAGAGTTGGCTTACTCTTGCCAGGGGAGACCTGGATAAGGATGGGATTTTTTTATTTTAATTTTATTATCATAGGTAACAAGTTTGCAAAGCAACTGAAAACAGTTGTGTTATGGCTTCAGATTTTGAGGATGATTTGATGACAGTCAGCTTCAAACTAGTAGGAAGTAACCAAGGAAATATAAATTTACCATTGGAGAAAGCCCATGACAGATTGCAATCAATAAAAGAAGGGGAGTGGAGAAGACATCCATACACTAATGGAATACATTTAGCCAGAGTATCAAAGTTTTCACCATGAGATGCTGTCATGGGAAACACGTGGAACAGAGTCGAAGAAGATTAATTCTTCTTAATTTTTTAAAGATATATTTTGTGTTTATTCTACTTTTTTATTCATCCTTGTAATTTTTATTATTATTATTATTATTATTATTTATTATTATGATTAACAAAAGAGTGCATTTCTTCATAGTTTTAAATATTTTGAAATTTATTTGTTGCGGGAAATAAAAGTCTTAACTACTTTTTTCACACATTTACTTATTTTGGTATAATTATCCTGATAATTTATACATAAATGTCAGAAGTTATCAATTGAGGGGAGGAAGGAAACAATTTCTCCATTTTCATTCCATAATACTCTGTCCAACGACATAAAATTCTTATAAAGGGAACTATTTTTCTATATTAATCTTGTATGTACTTAAGTGTATGGAAGGAATAACTTTTCCAACAAATGAGCACAATAGGAGAAAAACTGTTTTCTTTCCTCAAAATATGCTTCAAATTAACTGTTACCTTTTTTCTTAGCATTGATTAAATCATATTTGTTAAGAAATAAAACTGATGTTGCACAACAAAAATTATTCCCTCAGTCAAAAAACATCTGTTGTCTCTGGAAAGATATCATGGTTTAATCTTTATTTCAACAGAAATCAAGATTACAGGAACTGGATATGGAACCAAACTGCTGCTTGAAATAGGACCAGTCACACAGTCCCTGATCACAGCCATTAATATCCAGAAGGTGTTCGTTAAAGTATAGCTGAACTCTGTATGGCTCACCTGCATCACATCTGTAAGCAAACGGGTTCATTTCTTATTGTTTTTCTGGAACATTACTCATGTTTACATTACACTTTTTACTGTTCCTTTGCTTATATTGGTTTTCTCTGAAATCCTTTTCTATACCATATCTGGTTCCATTTGCATCCAATGATTACTTCCAAGTTCCTTTACTTGCCTTATCTGACTCAGTTTTTGACATATGATTTGCCTGCCACCTACTTTTTGGCTTATTCTTCCACCTTGAAGATGGAAGAAGTGTGTTCACCAAATCATCAGTGAATTTCTATTGAATTACATGCCATCACTCTCCATGTTTTGTTTACTTTGTCAACTGTCCTGTTCTATTTTGGTATTACAAATATGAGATGTAGCAGGGATAGTTTTTGAGTAACTGAATGTCACTGAGTCCTAATTGAGAAGCTGTGATTCAGTCAGCTTCTCAAGAATTTCTGAACATTTTATGAAACCTGGAGGTTCATTGCCATATTCAAAAGAACCCTCCACTGCCCCGTATCCTGGGTCAAATTAACCCAGTCCATACCAGCCGATCCTATTTCTCTGAGATTCAGCCTAATATTATCCTCCCACATACACCTAGGTTTAGCGGCCTCCATAGTCTAGAGGTAACGTTCCCACCTCATGACTCGTGGTATGCGGGTTCGAATACTCGGCGGAGGTCGTCGAATTTTTAAGGGCGGAAAAATTCAGGGAACAAGTCCTCCGGGAGGGACTTTAAGCTGTGTGTCCCGTGTCGTAACTTTACGGCAAGTAAAAGAACCTCATATCCCCAAAGGGGATCACTGAGCCAAATTCCAGGACGTTTCCCGCCCAAAAATAGCCTCTAAGGCCTCCGATAGATGGGGGAAGCATTATAGACACCGCTAAGCAAGTGGCCGAACTCGCTTGCTTGGCGGGACTGATGGTACGCACCATTTATCGGTAGGGTAAAGAGACTGGTAGAATATCATAGAGGGAAGCACAATAGATCAAACTGGTCGCGGTGCATGGGGAAACCCACCCTCTCTAAATAACTAACTAATAACTACACCTAGGTTTTCCTTGTGGTCTCTTTCCTTAAGGCTCTCCCACCAAAACCCTGTATGCATTCCTTTTACATGTACACATATATATGTCACACCAGCGACCTCTTAGTATCATACATGACATCCTACACTAACAAACTCTACTCCCTTAACTACTGATATGATTCTCATATACAAAAAAAGTCCTGTCCATAATTTATAATTCTAATTCCAATTTACATAGAAAAATGTATAATTGTCCGCTGGTTCATTGCCACCCCTGTACATCTGACCTCATGCTCTATATAAATCTAAATTGTACTGTTTAAAAATATGTCAAGACTGATTACTGCTGTAGAAATAATAATAAACTGGTATACTTACTGTAACAGTTCAAATATTATATGATGATTAAAACTCTTCCACTTACTTTTTTATGTATGGCTTAAGTCTCCAGTCATTGAAAATTCAGCAATGGAGTTGCTTAATACAATATTTGTAACCCTACACATGATTTTTGAAACACTAAATCATGACGGCTAAGTAATGCTGCTTTTAATGTTCTAATGCATGTAATGTTTATTTTTTATACTATGTAGTATGGTTATCAAAGTTCTTGCTTTGCACTCTAAATGGATCACACTGTATTTCCACATTTATATGATAAGAATATCTCATTCTTTATTTCAGTATGAATGTGTGTGTGTGTGTGTTTATCCCAGTGCGTGCAGGCAAACGTGTGCCAAATACAATACACATGGAGGGTGTACCTGTAGGCACTGGCCATAGAAACTGATACCTTCACCTGACCCATTCCCACATTTCAGGTTGTGGAATCAATTAAAGCTATGAAAAGTTACACTCAGTACATACACACATAAATTTTCCTAATGTGTTCTATGTGAATTTATATCCTTCATTTTAATTAGTTATTTCTTACAGGTAAAATTTTATTGTTGACAGAGGAACTCAGCAATAAATATATTGAGCTGCAGAGATAATGTTTAGATTTTCCATGTATTTTGTTAATTTACTTGTATACCATATTAAATTTTTCCCAATAAAATATATGGTCTTAATTATCCCTGTACTATATACCGCGTAGTCTGTTTTTGTATTAAGTGTAATCTTTTTAAATTTTGGGTGCGTTTGGCTTTTGCTTTTTGTAAGATAAGAGTGGGAGTAGTGTGGAAAGATAGAAACTATAATAAAAATTTAGCTGACAACTCTTAACATAGACCCCCCAATACCAAATTTTAGTGAAATATATTGGGTCATTTTAGAGATGAAATATGCGGACAGACAGAAGTTTGTGAGCTCCACATTATGTGTTCCTTTCATGTCTGTCATCCAAGACCAAGAAATGAATAGCCAATATCAGAATGTTTATCATAATATTTTTGTTCTGTAAAATTCAGTGCTGTGATTTTCATGCTGAATTAACTATATTGTTAAGTATTGACAGTATGGTTGCTGATTGTGGAATGCGATTTTTAAATGTAAATTAACATTTGCTATATTTCAGTAAGGAATGAATTTTACTGATATTGACCAAAAAAATGCTTTGAAACACTTAGATTCTCTATTGGATATATATTCTTCATTTGAAATATTGCAATTTTTTCCTCCTACAAAGCAAATATATGTCTGTTGAAAGAAAAGGCTATAGACGCACCATACCTCATGAAGTATGGTGAGTAAACATTTTGATTTCAGCAGTGTCATCCCTTTCTTGGAAAAGTACCAATAGTCCTTCAAAACTAGAAATGGGGTGTTAACTGCCTCATTTTATTGAGTACCAGTTTTATTTTAAAACTGTGAACATCTTCAAGATACCCTTGAAAATTGAATAGATGTGTCCATTAACGCCTTTAATACTCATGTCATGACAAATCCAGTAGATCTGGCCATTATCCTATTAATGTTTGTATTTAAGAATTTGAAACTTTGTGTCTGATTTGTGACAACCGCTGGAGAATGTGGCAAGACAGCTACTAGGTCATAACAGATGTGCTCTAAAGTGAATAAGTATCATGTCTTTCAGGCCACGCCATAGCTCAAGCGGTTAGTCGCTGGCTTCCCACCGCGGCAGCCCGGGTTCATTCCCAGGTTTGGTCAAGTGGGATTTATGGTGAACAAAGTGGCACTGGGACAGGTTTTCTCTGAGTACTTGGGTTTCCCCTGCCAATCTTCATTCCACCAAATTCTCCATCATAATAACCCATGGCAGGTACCATAGGCCAATCAGTGGCCAACGTGCCGAGTGGGCCCAGTTGGACTCCACCCCCCACTAAGCAAATCATGTCTTTCTTATAAAATTGTTACACTGAAACTCAGTATAATGCATAAAATGGAAAACCATATTTTAGCGTGTTGCTGTAGCACTGAGATTTGATGTTCTCTTTGTAGAGACTGAGAAGTCCTGTCTTCCGGAATGTGACATGAGATCATGTAGCCTCGTAGAGGTTTACAAACATTTCAGAAGAATATGCTGACCCCATCTTAAGGGTAGAAGACTGAATAACAATGAAGATGGAAGTAGCACACCCTTTCAAAACAGTATTATTATTATAATTATTTTAGAGGTGGTGGGTTTCCCCATGCACTGCGACTAGTTATTAATCTATTGTGTGTCCCCCTTTAATATTCTACCAGTCGCCATGCCCTTCCTGTACTGGTGCTTGCTATCAGCCCTGTTCTGCCAGCGAGGTCAGCCACCTCTCTGGCAGTGGTCCCCGATACTTCCCCATCTTCCGGAGGAATTGGAAACTACTTGGGCGGGAAACTTTGCCTAATTTTGCTCAGAGGTCTCCTAGAGACATGAGAATCTTTTACGTGCCATAAATGTCCGACATGGGACACACGGCTTAAAGTCCCTCCTGGAGGACTTTTTCCCCGAATTTTTCCACCCTTAAAAATTCCACGACCTCCGCCAGGTTTGAACCCGCGTACCTTGAGTCTTGAGGTGGGAACATTACCCCTAGACTACGGAGGCCGCTTTTCAGAACAGTAAACTTCTACCAGATTACACAGTGTCATATTTCAGAAGACAGTAATTATCGGGATTTGCATATATGTCTCATATCTAGCTCCCACAGTTTGGTTACCCTTGTTATACAGTCTTTTCTCTGGAAGTGATGGGTGAGATTTAAAAGTGTTTCATAAAATGTGATGTATCTGATCACCATGCTTTAACACATCATTTGGATTTTATGGTCAAACTCTCATATCACATTGTCTTACAGTTAACAGTATAAGTAAACATTGTGTTACTTACTTAAAGAACACAGCTGCAAGATTGGCAGTAAATGGACTAATGAACGAACTTCTCCACTCTCGACCACTCATTTGATCATAATTGGAGCTGGTCAGGGCCTCTTTATCCTTATCGAACCCCAGTGAAGTCAGAACTAATAGTATCATTTCATGGTGAGTAAAGTAAAGTACACCAGCAGGTTGCTGCTCCCCCTTTTCTATGTCACTGAAAAAAATAGTTACTTCATATTATTTGTTGTGATTTACACAGCAACGGTAACATAGTTGACTTGCAATGAGGAGCTATCTATTTTGAATTTCAGACTGAGTCTTCTTATGGTTTTGCTGTCTTGAATGCTGGGCTAACACCTTAAAGTAGATCATAATTATGTTTAAAGCATTTGATAATGGTGGAACATATTTTTTAAAACTATTATTTTGTACTTCATCCATCATCTGAGAATAACCATGAGGCCATGGTTTGAGAATAGGTCTGCCTAGAGATCCAACAAAGCAGCTTCTTTTTCTTATTTTTTTTCATATTCTGTATGCCTGAAGATGTGACACAAATTGGTACTAATAAACTCAGATCATAATTGTTTTCTTGTACATCCCTCTGACTTGTTTTCATATCACCCTTTGTTTTCTCATGACACTGCATAACTTTGGACGTGATAAAATGTTGAAATTAAGTAAGAGAGCAATTCTTGTATTTGCTCTGCAACGAATTCTTATTGGAGGACGATAGACTGAGGGTGTTGAGGAGAATATTTGGATTAAAGAGAGATGAAGTGACAGGAGGTCGTAGAAAACTGCATAATGAGCTACGTAACTTGTACTCTTCTCCTGGTATAATTAGAATGATCAAGTCAAGGAGGATGTAGCACGAATTGGGGAGATGAATGCATATAGGATATCGGTGGGAAAGCCAGAAGGAAAGAGACCTCTGGGAAGACCAAGGTGTAGGTGGGTGGACAATATTAAAATTGATCTTATAGAGATAGGATGGGATGGTATGGCTTGGATTGAGCTGGTTGAGGATAAGGTCCAGTGGAGGGCTCTTGTGAACATGGTAATGAGCCTTCAGGTTTCATAAAATGCTGGGAAGTTCTTTAAAAGCTGCAGAACTGGCAGCTTCTCAAGAATGGCTCAGCTCCATGAGTAAGTAAGTAAGTAAGTAATAAATTGCTATTAAGCTTTCAAGTATGAATGAATTGGATGATAAAGCCTAAGTAGATTGACTTAATTAATTTAGTTCCCAGAATTATGGCAGAACATACATATACATATGCATGAAATTATTAAGATAAATTCTAGAAAGGGATCAGAAACTTAAGCTCTAAAACAAAGAAGAAGACATAAAATCTGCCTCTCATCATACCTAATTTGTATGATGTTTGTTTTGTAAACATTTGAATGTACTGTCAGCTTCTGTTTTACTGAGTGTTCATTGTGCAGACCTATTAGATGTCCAGGGAGCTTCTCAGAACGTCATATCGGCAGACACTGTGGGATCCCTTGGAAAACTGAGGATCACTCATTCAGTGATCACATGATCAGTGAGTCAGTCAGTGTTACACCATTGAGTTTTATAGAAGTTTTTTTCTATTGTGCTCTATTCGGTGTCTTTATGGCTCATGTGAGATACAGTTTAGAACAAAGAGTTTTGATTTATGGTTGCTATGTGAAAAAAAAAATCTCATAAATCATGCAGGAGAAAATTTTGCCATAAATTTCCTGACATAACATGTCCATCTAGAGATACAGTTTCAAAATTAGTGAAGAAAGTTGGAGCCAGTGGTATTTTAATTGACAGAAAGCCATTAAAAAGAATTCGTGTTTTAACTGAGGAAAAACTTGATGACATCGGTCATCAAATAGAAAATTCTTGAAAATCTTTGCAGCAATTAGCACAGCAAAGTGATGTTTCTGTAGTCAGTGCAGGTACAGCAACTAAGCTGTTCCATATTCATCTGTACAAAATTACTGTTATGCCTGAAATTAAACCTGTGATTTATGAAAAAGAGTGATGTTTCATAATTGGTTTATCAGTAATGTGCATGACAGACTTATTGATCCTAAGCTGACATTTTTCACAGATGAGGCTAATTTTAATCTATTGTGATACGTGAACTCACGAAACAACAGATATTGGAGAAGTGAAAATCCTCATGCCCTAATTGAATTTCCCCTTTACAACCAAACGATAGGCATATGTGTGCAATTAGCACTAATCTTATCATTGGACACAATATTTTATGAAGGAATCTTGATGCTCAATGATACATTAATGACATGCTCAATGGATTTCTCATTAATTTAGCACCTGCAGAAGAAAGATTAAGTTATTTTATGCAAGAGAGCAGGACTCCCCTTACAACTAAGAAAAGTATCCGAACATTACGTGGTGTGTTTGGGGAATTAATGGGGATGATAGAATTATTAACAGGGGTTTAGTTAGTTAGTTATTGGAGAGGGTGAGTTTCCCCATGCACTTAGACCAGTATTGGTCCATTGTGCTTCGCTCTATGATATTCTACCAGTCTCTATACCCTGCCGATATTGGTGCGTACCATCAGTCCCGACTGAGCCAGCGAGTTGGGCCTCTACTGGCTTAGCGGTATCTATAATGCTTCCTCCATTTATCAGAGGAGTTAGAGACTACTGTTGGGCGGGAAATGTCCTTGAATTTGGCTCAGTGACCTCCTTTGGAGATATGAGGTTCTTTTACGTGCCGTAAAGCTACAACACGGGACCCACGGCTTAAAGTCCGTCCCGGAGGACTTGTTCCCTGAATTTTTGCGCCCTTAAAAATTCCATGATCTCCGCCGGGTTTGAACCCGCGTACCACGAGTCATGAGGTGGGAACATTACCTCTAGGTTACGGAGGCCGCTTTAACAGGGGTTTGCTGACCCCCTAGATCTCCAAATCTAAACCCATGTGATTTTTTTTTTGTTGGGAAAACTCAAAAAGGGTTGTGTATGCCAACAATCCACATAACGTGAAGGCTCAGAAACAGAATATTCATGAAGCAATTTACAACATTCATCAATGTAAATTGTGACAAGTTTCCTGAAATCTGTTTCAAAGAATTCAGTCATGTCTCACAGCAGAGGACATAGATTTTGAACATCATCTGTGATGGTGAATAAAATATTAATTACTGTATTTGATTAATGATCAACATAAGAAGTAAACAGTTGTGCTAGCTGTACTGGCCATGTAGCAGCATTTTTCTTCTCAAGTGCCACAGCTCTTTCGCAGGAAGCTGCCGACAGTAAAACCAATGTCCAATCAGCCTGCACTCTGAACACGGTGTGTAACTATGCCTATCACGCAGGTTACATACAGTTACATGCATGTAGGAACTTAGGAGGTTAATAATTGGGAAGGATGACTGACACAGTGTGAGAAATGGCTTTTACTGTGCCAATTTGTATGCTGCAAATTTCTCAAGTATTTCTCTGGAATTTAACTTAAATCCCTGCAGTGAGAAGTTGGCATGTAACTGTTTTAATACTGTGGATCTGATCTCTTTTCAATTCATTATCCTAATTCATATCACTGGTGTAACAATATTTTGTAGAAATATAGTGAAGACTGGAAAAAGTACCAATCTGTAGAACACTTAGTCACTAATTATTATTATTATTGTTGTTGTTGTTATTAAGGTATTCCTGTAACAGGCCATGGAGGTCCATAGGGTTGTGAGATATTGAGGTTCCCACATTTTCAAGACAATCGGCTCATAGATGGCAGTAAGGTTGTCAGCTTATGCGCCGGCCGCCCTTTATCCCCAAGAATATTCCTGGTACTCATTTCTGTTAGAGGCTGAGTATAGTATACCCCAGGGCCATAGTGCAGCTGGAAGGATTAGGTCAATTGAAAAAGATCCAGTGACCTCATCGGGACTTGAACTCGCAACCTTCTGGCTTGTAGCATGGTGCCTCAACCAACTATGCTACCGCTTAGTCACTAATATGATCAAAAATATTTCTTTTTGGGTGTTTGTCATCACATACAATTTTAATATATGTTGCATTCAGTCAGTAACATGATGTTTTGCAGCTCGTATGTGAAAAAGAGACTCTAGTCAAAGAGAGATATTCCTGAGCAATATGAAACATGAAAGCTGAAAACAGATACAGTCCCCAAGACCTAACTTGTTTCCATGGCAAATGCTCCGGCCTGTCAGTAGTACCAACCACAAAAACTGAAGAAGATAAAATGATGTTTCCCCCCATTAAATAAACACTCCAGTGCTTTGCTTAGAGTGAGTTATACTCGTACATGTTATGCAGCTTATATGTCACTGCATCTTTTTATCTGAAATGTGCCGTGCCAGGCCAGGGAAGGAAGTAGATTCACTTCTCAGTGGTAGCCCCCAAACTGTCCATTTATGTATTTGTTTTATTGCTAGTGGGGTGGGACTAAGTCCCTTGTACTGTGGCCACTTCTGGCCTATTCTACCAGCCCCAGATGATAGGTGAGGGTGATTGTGGAGCAATTGGTGGAATGAAGATTGGCAGGGGAAACTGAAGTACTCAGAGAAAACCTGCCCCAGCGCCACTTTGTCCACTACAAATCCCACTTGTCCAGACCCGGGATCGAACCCGGGCCTCCACGGTGGGAAGCCAGTGACTCACCGCTTGAGCTATGGCACAGCCTCCATTTATGTATACAATACCATGAAGAAGAGAGAGAGATGTTGTTACTCCTGCCAGATTATGCTTTTGTATTTCTGCATGATCAGACTCATAATCTGGGATTTGCCACAGACTTGCTTGAAGATCCTTAGCCATAATTGTGCCATGTGAGAAATACCAAACTCACCTGAAGCGATCAATAAAGTCCTTGACAGGGGGACAGCCCACCTTTTTGTTCAAGTCATTGCCGTATCCTGTGCTGTAGTATAACTCCAAGTCTTCTATGTACTCCAGGGCCTGGAAAATTTACAGTGACTTTCAGACTGTGTGTACTTTATGTTGAGGTTCCCACAAGAAGGAAAATATGGCAACTTGATACTAAATGACGTCTGTCATAGAATAATCTATGAATGGTACCAAAAACATTGGAAGAGCACAAATAGATATATTAGTGGCAAGAGTTTAATCTTTGTCTGTTGTCATTTATATCCTGATGTGATTCGAATTATGGTTTTTTCAATAAAATTCAGTGTACATTAACTATATGAATTTTCATAAGTACAGATGTAGTTTGGGAGTTAAACGATGCAGTAATGAAATTTGCTTGTATATCCCTTGGAATGTGGCAAGCGGTAGTGTTGGTTGAGGCACTATGCTATAAGCTGGAAGATAGCAGGTTCGATTCCTAATGAGTTCATTGAATTTTTCAATTGACCTAATCCTTCCAGCCACACTAATGGTCATGGGGTTGATGCAACCCCTAACAGAATTGAGTACCAGGAATCTTCCTCAGGGTAAAGGGTGGCTGGCATGTAAGGCTGACAACCTCACCACCATCTGTGAGCCCATCGTCTGGAAAATAGAAGTGGGAAGATACTAGATGCTACTCAGTATTTTGTGAACATGTAAAAAAATCTAGCTCATACCCTTGTCATATTATCTGTCCATTCTTGTTCATGTCAGTTCAGTTGATTTAATGACTAATGATGTTGTATCATCTGCAGAAGATATTGAGAGGGGTTTTATGCGTGGTGGACTAGAAAGGCCTTGGAGTAGTCACGTAACTCCAGTAAGTTTTATATGTCATGTTTTAGGTGATAGGCTTGTTGAATATGTTAGCAGTCCATATTTCTGTGCCCCATCTTGGCCGGGTTAGTGTTCAAGATTTACGCCTGAAGATTTCATTGATTTGCAGGAAGCTGTAAGATAATGACACTGTAATAATTTTGTCCTGCATTCTATATATCTATCTGTCTGTCCATCTATGGCTCTACAGTCCTTGTGGATCTTGGCTGCTTTTGCAGTTTCATAATCCATACACAGTCAGTAGGACTGCTTGGACTGGTTATCAGCCCATCACAAAGCTTCTACCTACACACAGAATAAATACACACAGACATCCCTGCCTCAAGTGGGATTCGAACCCATGATCCCAGTGTTCCTGCAGACGAAGATGGTTCATGTTGTAGTCCTGCAGCCACTGTGATCGGCAGGTTAAACCTGTACAGTTGTAAATTACATCTTAGTCAGTTGCCTTTAATTAGCTTGATCTAAAGCAAAATTATTTATTTAAACTGTATATTAAATTATATTAAGCACAAAGCTGCACTTTCTGTAATATTATGGATTCAATGAAAAATTTGCCAAGGAGAAGACAAAACATGAGGATTCAGGAACTTCATATTTAATTATTAGGTATAAATTTTAAATACAGCAAGATGAAGCAGTTGTGTCAATAAGAATGTAAAGACAATGACAGAAAATATATGTGAGTCTTTAGGCTCTTTCTGTGAAAGGTATTTTATGATCCCATGATTTGGTGAAGTTATTCTTCGTCATGCCAGTTTTATGAAATTTATTAATTTAACATGCGTTTCATAACAGAATTGTTATACTTTGTATGTGGTGTATGTATGACTCTATTAGCATGCCTGTATATATATGAAATCACATTTGTTATTGCATTACCTGATGCAATATTGCTACAGATATTACAACAATGCTACTTTCTATGCATCATGCCATATGTTGTTATAATAATTACTCGCACTCTTCTGTGATGAAATGTGAGCCTGAATGAAAGAATGATTGTTATTTTAATATGTCACATTCCTTTTCAACCCCATTAGATGAAAAATGAATTGCCATGTGTTTTAACATAAAAAGGAAATGTGTTTCTTATACAGTGTGTTGAATTATTATCATTCAGTAACTCAGATCAGAGTGGTATGTAAAATTTTCCATGTGGCATCCTGTGGTGTGCATGCTAAAAGTTTCCAGCTCTTCTTTCATACAATAATACCTACTTACTGTGTGCTTTGTGTTTGTGAATGGGATATAAGGTAGTGCCGCTTAAGTCAAATACTAGAATATTAATTATTTTGAACTCTTTTGTACTATTGTTCATTGGTATGTGTTACCATATATCACAAAGATTTTCAAGGGATAGAACATAAAATGTTGCAGTGATGGCATACATGAACAACTAATTCACTAGACAATAACTGGAAACTTAGGGTGGTAGAACTGAAAGCACAATGGTTATTAGTGTTTTACAAACAAAAAAATGGGGAAAAAGAAACTTAAATGGTGGTTGTTTCTGTCATTTATTATACTATACTGTCAGTATCTATATTATACAATGTCATGTGCTAGGTTGACTGACAAATGGTGAGTTTTAAAGCATGAACATGGATGTAATTGTGGCACAGTTGAGGTACTATCTCAAAATTTACTTGGTAGGACTGAGGAAACCGAAGAAGCAGTCAGGCTAAATAGTGTCCCAGATGACTCAAAGTGAGTACCTCCTGAACAAAATCTAAAGAATTGTTCCTATACCAACTTGCCCTGTATTTAGGCCGTGCCATGGCTTAAGCGGTTAGTCGCTGGCTTCCCACCGCAGTGGCCTGGGTTCGATCCCAGGTCTAGTTAAGTGGGATTTGTGGTGGACAAAGTGGCGCTGGGGCCACTACGAGTACTTTTGGTTTCCCCTGCCAATCTTCATACCACCAATTGCTCCGCAATCACCCTCACATATCATCTGGGGCTGGTACAGTAGGCCAGAAGTGGGCACAGTACAAGGGACTTAGTTCCACCCCACTAGCAATAAAAGAAAGGAACTTCTGCCCTGTATTTAGAGCAAGGTGACTGGAATGATAGAATGTGACAACAAGAAGTAGTGAAAGTGGAAACACCTGAAGGAGAAAGAGGATGTTTTAATTCTGAGCTGTACAAACTACATTCACATTAATGTGTGTCATCCATAGTGCATTTTGAAAATGTTGCATGATTGTCAGTTTTGGAATTAAGGTATTGTGCATGCACCATAGCAACCTGCTAATAAAAACAGTAACAAATAGGAAGAAGAACCTTTCTTTGGTTTATATATGAGGGATCTACTCCTAAACCAACAGGGGAATGATAGAACTTACTTTAAGATCATCTTCAGTGAAGGCAGCACACCATGGAGAAACTTTATCCAAGTGCCATGCCTTGTCATATCGACATGCAGAATACATTAAGAGTATGTCATCTGTAAACAAAAGTTAAAATATCACCCATAATGCAATATGGTGTAAGAACTTGCATGTGTCTCCAAAATCTCTCCTATGATCAGTAGTCTCCATTCATAAAGAACAGTGCTTTTGTAATCTGGTGTAGAGGAAATATTATTTTGTAACTATGGCTGCAAGGGGCACAGTGATGTCGCTATTACACTTGATGTGGGTGAAATGCTACTGTCATTAATTGAGCTTAGGTTAGGTTTTAATTTATTTAATTACAGGTAACTGTTGTGACATTGTTTGACACTCGTGTTTATTATCATTTTAGATATGAAGCTATGAGGCCTGTTCCCCCCTTATTCCATCTCAGTAGTGGTGTTAATAAACCTCTCTTTCCCCTAGGCTAGTGTGCTGCATTCTGTTTTTCTTTGTCACTGTTTTACATTCTTCTTCTCTAATGTTTCTGATGAGTTCGGTGATTTTAGTTGAAAGTCATTTAAGACTAAATCAGTTAAAACTTCGGTTTTACAATAATAATGTGATGTGTTATAGTACGTCCATCGCTGCGCAACGGCTACAATGGGAACATATACTTCCATGACAACAAATACGTGGAAATCGTTGAGTTCCCACAGCGACAAATTGAATACCAACAGACCATTGCATAGAGATTGCCGAAACAACAAACGCGTTTCCCCGGAGATGGACCACAGAGGGTTCATTACGTTGCAGCGGGAAAACCGAACTATTGGGAAAGGTGTTCACTAAGCAGTCCGAACAACACCTATATATGGGGGTTGAACGTACCAGACAGATTCTGAGACAGTAAAATATGGTTGCGAGTCCCAAGGGACTTGGACCTGAGAAAGACTTGGCTGGCAAAAGCCAGTAGCATGTACGAATGACAGACTCGTCCTCTCGTTAGAGAGGGCGCCCCACAATAAACAAGACCGTAATAAATATCTGGTCACTCGACACTAAGACTTACTGACTGACTGACTGACTGACTGACTGTCAGTCGCAATATGACTTTGACTTTGACTTTGACAGACAGTAAACTGCCAGTAATAAAGTAACTCTGACAGACAGTGGTTGCCTCTGTTGAGGCGGGTTCGAATACCTCCACCATGACCCTGCAAGTTGTAGGAGGCTACGAAAAGGGAAGTCTCAAATTTGAGACAGTAATATATGGTCTCGAATAGCAAGGGACTCAGACCCGAGAAGGACTGTTCTGGCAAGGACCAGCAGCATATACAAAAGGCAGACCTGTCCTCTCATCAGAGAGGGTGCCCACATAAAACAAGACCGTAACTGTCAAACAGTAATTAAGATCTGGTCGCAAGCCCCAGATGGGTGCTTTATGCCAAGACAGACTGGCCGACTTACTGTCGGTCATAAAATGAGACAGACTCAGACAGTGGTCCCATAATGCTGGGAACCATGTCTTTCTGCTAACATTGCTGAGTAAATTGCCATATAAATCCATTGCAGTTGTTGGACTCAAGAAAACTGTCTGCTGTATGGCTGAATTCCAAGTGCGGGATGTACATACCAAGGTCAAGTGTCTTGGAAAATCCGAGTCTCTTGGACACAGATCCCACGAGTGTTGTCACTGTGGAACCGTCTTCAAATTTTTTCATTTGCTTTGTTGTGTCTTTGTTTTCTTCAACATCTTTTTCCCACTTTTTACAGCTGGCATATGGCTGCAACATAAATCCAATAGTTTTAGCAGTGAACTTGATAACTTTCATCAAAGCCATGCTTAAAGTTTATGAATAGTGCACCGTTGACTGTGATACAATGTAGTACATTGACATGAATGGTTATTAAAAAATTAACAGCAGCAAATATGAAGCCAAGCAGCCACATTTAACTGTATCAGTGTTTTCTGAAGTACTTGAAATTGATTCATTAGTTAATTTGTGATCATTTATTGTAGGTAAAAATACTTGATCAGAGGTAACATATGAATATGATGCAATTTTTAAATATTCTCCAAGTTCTTTAACGTTGTTTCCACCAGATGCCTGGCTTCTTTTAAGGAGCTCTCTACAAGTTATTTTGTATTCACCAAGAATAAGATTACTGGAAATATTCTTTTAGAATGTAAAGTCATTGACTATAGTCATATGTTACAAAGTGAAGATTATTACAGTCCAAATTCAATTTAAATAAAGTCTTAAATAATTATGAAGTTACCTTAATAAGCATGTCATCTTCCAGGGCTTCTGGGAACTCCAAACCCATTCCAGTTCCAAATAATCCATCCACAAATGCAATGGCGCTGGCTGCAGTTCTCTGTTTTGTGGTGAACTGGACCTGAAAAGGAACATCGCATAGATGATGCTATATTTAAGCTATCTTGAAATGTCCCTGTAGTGATTTAGAGAAGTGGTGTAAAGCCTGTAACACCAGACGTATGAAGAGAAATTTAAAGCATTCTTCAAATATCATTGCAGTGAAATAATTATACATAGGAATGTATAATGGTTGTTACTATTATGAAATCGTTTTCATGTTACTAGCTGGCTATACGTTTACAGTTAACCCATAATCTTATTGAAATTAGTGTAAATAGTTAAGATCTTAAAAATGATACTGCACATATATTCATTTTACTTAAAAATCAAGCCAGATATAGCTTACTGGTTACATTACACTTGTGTTAATTTTCCATCTGTTTGTTGTAAACACCATCTGCAGTGTAGTCCGCCTCTGTGGTCTAGTGGTCAGAGTTTTTGGCTATAGATCCAGAGGTCCCGGGTTCGATTCCCGGCGCTACCAGATTTTCTGAGAAGTAGTGGGTCTGGAACGGGGGCCACTCAGCCTTGCGAACATAATTGAGGAGCTACTTGAATAGAAAGTAGCGGCTCCTGTCTAGAAAACCGAAATTAACGGCCATGGGGATGTGTTGTGCTGAACACGCGACACCCTGTATCCGCTAAACTTGGCACTAACTTCGCCGGCAAGCGGCTGTCGCTCGGTCGGTATAGTTCTCTTGCGGACTACAGGCCACGGAATTTATTGTTGTAAACAAGTTTATGAAATTTTGATGTTTGCACATTTTGAATGCATGTGATGAAAAACGCCAATGTTACAACTGTATGAACCTTAGAGATTATGTTTCCAAACTTTCAGGTAATGGAGTTGTAGCCCAGCAGAAACTGCATATGGCTATATCACTAAGTTGTCTTGTTTGTAATTTATAAATTTGGCTGACTTCTATTTTCACATAGAAGTATTCAGAAGCACATACAGAGGTTATTTTCTAAAGTTCCTGTAACTTATTGAATTAAAATTATAATGCTTTTATTTATTATTTCAATTGTGATTTGTTATTCTGCATCAGTTGTGGAGATTATGTTGCATCTTAAAAATTGAAGAATTATAAAGTGTGTTGTAAGAAACTGTTGTGTTCTGTTTGAATATACTATCACAGCATTTGTCTGGCAAGACTGAAGAAACCACAGAAGGTACTTTCAGGGTATGGAGTAGGAGTGCTGGAGTGCTACTCATTTCTCTGTGACATTTGATATAATCATCTTGTAACTACTGTCTACAAAATAGATGTTCATGGTACAAATATCCTTAATTTTTCAGAGAACAAGAAGTTCAGAAATTACACTGTACTTTATAGTCCATGATGGCTGTCAGTTTGCTCACCTTAAATGAGTCCTTTGTCACTGTTTGTTTGAACAGTGCTGGGAACCTGCTCTTGAAGCGTTCACCCAAGCGATAAAGATCATTGTAGCCCTGAGGGGTAAGATCACTCTTCACATTTGAGACCACTTGTAGAGTCCACAGTTTAAGGTTTTCAAGATCCTTGGCACATAAACTGCCACCTTGTTTTGGAACACAGAACAATTCATACATTAGTTAAGTAGTCAATATCTCAACCTTTTTACTAGAGTTTTGTGTTATATTTAAAAGACCTCTTGATAATTATGTTCAGTATAGGCTTAAAAAAACAAGACAAGGAACTCAACACACAACAGGAGAGAATATAACCCACCGTGTCGAACACACGCACATCGAGGGAACTTATATATATTAACAACCCAAGCAACAATATAGAATAAAACACTTTCCTCCTCCAGTAATTTTAACACATGACCACATTGGTTGAAACATATAGTGAAAAACTTTTAAAGTGAATATCTTTTAATAAATTCTATAGAACTTTAATGTTGCACGTGAGACTGTAAAAAACTAATTGGCATAGGTTTATGTTTTTAACCTACTTTTCTTATTTATCAGGAAAGGCAGGTTTAATGCTCTATCATGTCTGCCAAGCTGTCCATGCATGTGCTTATGTGTTTTAATAACTTCTTAATTAGTTTAATGAATATTCATTAAATCTGTTATGAAGATCCTGCTGTTACCACAATCTTTCTGCTGCAAAATTTCTTACAAGAAATAATATATTCATGACAGCTTGAATACATTTGAGGTGGAAAGGAAACTAGTGTTACTTAATGCAAGGCCCTGAAAACTGATGGGGTAATGGAGCTTAACAAAATATGCAACTTCTGTTGAATATAAATATGCTGGCATGCAAAATCTGTACCATCATTTTAGTTTGGTGTTAATAAGCAAGACCAAGTTAATCTGTGAGCAGCAGCATAGTTGTCTGAGGGCTGTAATGTTAATTTCTCATTTTTTAAATTAAGACAAGTATACGTAAAGTTCATCTTTTATTGTAATCCTCAATCATATCATATTCCATTTAAATTTAAATACTCAACAATCCCATATGTATTGCAAAAGTTACATGAGGATCTTTAAGATACATATGCTCCAGGTTTGCAGACTGCCTGAATCTGGCATTGATAGTAACTGATGGATCATTAGAGATGTTACATTTCATATGAAGCTAGACTGTAAACATGCCTACAGATTTTGCCCAAGACATTCATCTGTATGTAAAAAATTACAAATATTTAAATGATGCATAATTTTTAGGTTATATTTCTCTTCTCTCTTCTAGTAAAATAAATCGTTGAATAAACTTTAATGTACAGTTGCAAGCCAACTCTGTTATATAGATTGAATATATAAAGGAAAGTAAATGTTGTAGAATCTTAATAATAAATTTTAATAATTTGAGAATGTAATTCTGAATTTTTTTGCTTCTCATTCCTCTGACCTGATATTCAGAGAAGATTCCTGATCTTAAATCCCCCACCATCTTTTTTAATGTGTTTATCCTTTTTTTATTAGTATTAGCTCCTTTGATATATTTTTACCATTACTCACTTCCATCTTTTTCATGATTTTTGATGATCTTCTCTTGGAGATCATAAAGATCTTTCAGTTCATCAACTTCATCAGCATCAGCATATCTCGTGCCATGACGAGATATAATCCAGAACTGCTTAGCTTCACATTCTGTAAGCAACAGATAAATTAACTTCAAACATTGTTACGAACTTTTTAATTAAAAAAAAACTCTGCATCTGCAGAATATTATGGAACAGAAGTTTTATGTTGTCACTGTTACTTTACGTGTACTGAGAAGGTTTAACAGTGTATTAGCAGCCTTTTGGAAATGTTGACTTCTGGAATAAATTGTAGAACGTGCAGTTCTTTTCATACATTTCAATTCTCTGCCCTAGTGTCAGTTTCTAGCCACTGTTTTCGCATTGGAGCCTTAGTTCGGTTCCAGGTAACTTCATATGAATTTTGTAGTGGCCAGAGTGGCAGGGGGGGGTTTTTTTTTTTANTTTTAAAGTTCCCCATACTAATCATCACCATTACTCCCCACTCATTTATTTTCTTCCCTGAGGTATGAGATGTCCCTGACCAGGCAGAAAATTACCACATCCTTGGTCTTCAAGGTGGGGCCTGATCTACCCAGCACCTGATTTGTTACAGAGGAAAGGGTAAAGTTGTCTCTGTGCTTAACTAATTAGGCACTATACCATGAAGGTGCATGGGGGAGTGGATGTATAGATCCACATTTTACTTGACTGCGGCACTACTTGGAGATGAGTGATCAACTTCACACTCTGGCCGCTTTACCCTCCCCCAGGGAAGAATTCCTGGTACCCATTGGATAGGAGGCTGGGCGGTCCCCAGAGCCAGTCTGGATGACGTGGAGAAGAGAATATTCTTGACCCTAGTGGGACTTGAATTCTGATTCCCCAGTCGGCCAGACCAAAGCCAGTAGCTATACCAACTACGCTATCCTGGCTTCCTTTGTGACAGAATAAAGGAAGTTAATTTTTCTAAGCTTTTGTTCTTTCAGAAAAATCCATGCTTCTGCAATCCAGCTTTATTTATCATTATTATTTTGTTTTATATATTTTTATGTTGAATTCAGCTTTGAGATTCATATTATAATATTAATGTTACTACTACTACTACTGTACTCTGTTATACTATAAAATATAAGCAGTTTCTTAATTAATAATTATTTAATGACTTCCAATTTTATGTGAATCTGGTTTCATTGCATTCAGTCATCTCACCATATTAACACAACATATGGCAGTTTTGTTGAAGATTCTAAGACAGGGCTGTAAAACTGGTGGCACATGTACTGCATGGAATGTTAGAAAAAGGTGGTGAATCTGTTTGAAAACTATGAAAAATGGTGACTAAATGTTATGAGTAATTTTTAATTGATTTCACATAACCGGTAATAAATAACTCGGAAAAGAATGGAATTAGGATGACTCCAAAATCTAATGAAATATCAGTACAATCTAGCAAATGGTTTATGAGTACCTTGACTCTGGCAACATGTAATTTAAATATATTTTTGAACTTTATGTGGCCAATTTTTATTCACATGCACATGGCAGCGGTAGTTGGTTGAGGCACTGGTGCTACAAGCTGGAAGGTTGCAGGTTTGAGTCCTGATGAGGTTGATTTTTTTTTTCATTTTACCTAATCCTTCCAGCCCTGGGGTTGACTTAGCCTCTAACAGGAATGAGTACCAGGAATCTTCCTGCGGGGCTAAAGGGTGGTGGGCGTGTAAGGCTAACAACCTTACCGCCATCTGTGAGCTGATTGTCTAGATAATGTGGCAGCCTCGATGTCTCACAAACCTATGGGTCTCCATGGCCTGTTACAGGGTTAGCTTTACCATTTTCTTTTCTTACTTCACAAATATGTTGCAAGGAGAATATTTGTTTTAGTAGAGTGTAAGCCTATGTATACGTATATACAGGGACACACACAAATAGATTTTGAGAGATGTATTGTAATTGAAAGGGTATAAGCCTCAGGTCTGCATACATTTCAAACTGATGGTTGCAGTAGGGACCCAGAACATGGCATTTAAATTATATGATGAAAAAAAATTAAAATCATTGATCCTTGAAAGGTTTGTGACACTGGTCTGTTATTATTTATAAAATTATTGTCTTGGGCATTGTCCATTATCTTAGTTAAATTTAAACTATCAGATGTTCCCAAAGTTGGATCTTTTTCCATCATCAATTGCAAGAAAGAGGAAAGGATCTTAAGTTGAGCCTGTTAGACAAAGCTAGCCATAATCACTGGGCAATAGAGGAAATAGTAGGCACCATATATTTTCTCCTGCTCAGATATGAAGTGTGGGAGACAAAGATGGAGGTAATAAAATTTGTTAAATTTCAGCGGTATCAACCAGAAATGGCGGTCATTGCTAAAGAATGCCTTATTTTCTTTCACACAGACATTTTGACATTAGATTATGTTGTTTGAGTGCAGCTGGCTAAGTATGAAAGGTGCCTAATTTTCTTTGTTACGTTTCTCCACAGCCTTAGATAGAAACTTAAAAGAATTAAGACATAAATGAAAGGTTTTGATGCTGATTCTGATAAATATCAATTTCACATCATGAACAGTTTTCAGAAAGATTAAGACTGCTTATTGTATCTTTGGGATACTTTGAACTACAACTTTTAATTCACAGTATTTACCAGGACATCATTTTTGATCTGCTATTTTTAATTTTGAAAGTGAAGTTATCTCAAGGTCGCAGCAAGGTCTGTTTAACTTCATCGAGTTGAATCATTCTTGAGAAGCTACCAGTCACTCAGCTACTTAAGAATTTCTCAACAATTTATGGAACTGGAAGGTTCATTATTATGTTCACAATAGCCCTTCTCTCATTCCTGTTCCATGCCAGAAGAATCTGGCACCCCATCATATTTCTCTAAGATCTATTTTAATATTATCTTCCCACCTACTTCTGTATAGTCCTAAGAATCTATTTTCTTCTGGCTTCCCCACCAATATTCTACATGCATTCCTCTTCTTTCCATTTGTGTTACATGCCCAGCCCATCTCATCCCCCTTTACTTGATTCTAATTATACTTGTCGAAGAGTACAAGTTATAGAGCTCATTATTCAGTTCTCTCCAACCTTTACCATTTCATCCCTCTTCAGTCCATTATATTCTCATCAGCACCCTGTTCTCACATACCTTCAATCTGTGTTCTTCCCCATTATGTCAGAGATTAAGTTATGCACCCATACAAAACTACAGGCTATAGTAATAAATATTTAGCAGATTTTAAGCTTGAGGTAGGCTTGGGTAAGAGCTGTCGCAGTACTTACTATCAATATATACATAGCTTGCATTTGTATTGCTCACAGCTTCATATGGTGTAGCAGTGCCAAACAAGATGTAGGGGTCTGTCTGGTCGGCATAACAGGAGTCTTGACTCTGGCCAGCCGCGAGGGTTGCCAGAAGAGTGGCCGACAACAGGATGATTATCATCTTGTTTCTGTTCAATGAAGAGAATGAATCCAAAGCTAATGGCAGAAAATGAAACAAGATATATTTGTAAATAGTATACATTTTAATGAGTACTTATTGTGGCATATTTTCTTAAAGCAAGGACTGTGGAGCCAGAGAAACAGCCATTGCTATGTAATAGCTACGTAACACACAACACCAATGGAGTAACTGTTGGAAGAGGTGTTTTCTGTGCAGTCCGTGCCGAGGCTATGTAACAAGGACCGATTGCCATTAATGGGAGAGAATTGAGGCGGCAGTTAGAAGAGTGGGAGTTTGGTGTGAGATGGCCACCAGCCTGTGAGGACATGAGCCCGAGAGTGGAGGGACATGTACCGTTGGAAGACATTACCAAGCGGCAGAGTGAATGCCGTGACTGAGAACACTGTTCTTTGTTTGATAGTGATTTGTAAAGTGTAGTCATGAGTTGTGTGTTAAAATGTCCAATAAATCCAATTACCAATCCAAATCCCGTGTCTACTTAACATGTGTAGACAGTATTCTGATGTACTTTCTTGGAAGAACTTAATAATTCTATTTTATTTTAAATTTTTATATCTGTATGGAGCCGATAGTGGAATGATGTGCTTTTTATTTATCCTTCAGTATATTTGCTTGAATGTAGATATCCTGTGTTGAAAGATTTCCAGATATAACCACAATGTGTCGCACCGTCTCTATGTTTGAAAATTTCAACAAAGAAAATACTCCTACGTAATTTTTTAGTATGAACTTCATATCGAAGTTCACATGAACAGTTACAGTGTTTCTTTAATTACTGCTGTCAAAATCATTCTGAATTTTCGCAGTCTCCATGTTCGTGTTTTGTATTTAATCAACAGATTTGTTTTAAAATAAATTGCATACTTTTTCAGTGAGTTATTTCTCCACAAAAACTCATGCAGGTGTCACCAAATACCCAGTAAGTTCACTTAATGCACTTGACAAACACCAGATCAACTCAAAATTGATTTGGGATTGCCACCAAACTCTCAGGGACTGGACAAACATAACGGTACCACTGATATGGGTGCTCGGGCATGAGGGTATTGCTGGAAACAAAATAGCAGACCAATTGGCTAAGGTTGGAGCTGAATATCCGTGCATAGGACCTCAACCAGCCAGTGGCATCTCTATAGGAGTTGCCAGACAGGCAATCAGGGACTGGACAAATATGAAGCACAAGAAATACTGGGGTTGTTAACTGGACTCAGGCAAGCAAAGGGACTCATACGAGGACCCTCTACTAAAAGAGTGAAAGAACTGTTGAAGTTAAACAGGAACCAGCTACGATGGGTGGTGGGACTACTTACAGGACACTCACCTCAAAGGACACCTCTTCAAATTGGGACTAAGTAACGGTCCAACTTGTGAGAGGTGCCAAGAAGAAAACAAAACAGCCACACATATCCTGTGTGAATGTGAGGCCTTAGCTTGTTTAAAATTGCGCCACTTGGGTCAGTATTTTATGGAACCAAGTGACTATTTCGACGTCCCCACGTACAAAATCCTGCGCTTCATTCGAAGCGCAGGATTGTTGAGGGGTTAATCAGAAGGGGAGGCACAATAGATCACTGTGCTCGTGGTGCAAGGACCAAGAAGGCCCACCCCATATACATTCATTCATTCCAGTTCGGAAAGCGGGAAATATGTCCTGCTGGTGACATAGTATCCCCATGTGGCTTAAATACGAGTAAATGTTCTGAGTCCCACTACTCTCCAATCAGCCCTGTCTTGCGTGTTGTGACGCAGTTCATTTCTTGACGTTTAGTTAGTTAGTTATTGGAGAGGGTGGGTTTCCTCATGCACTTAGACCAGTATTGGTCCATTGTGCTTCCCTGTATGATATTCTACCAGTCTCTATACCCTACCGATAAATGGTGCGTACCATCAGTCCCGCCGAGCAAGCGAGTTCGCCCACTTGCTTAGCGGTGTCTATAATGCTTCCCCCATCTATCAGAGGCGTTAGAGACTACTGTTGGGCGGGAAACGTCCTTTGAATTTGGCTCAGTGACTCCTTTGGAGATATGAGGTTCTTTTACGTGCCGTAAAGCTACGACACAGGACCCACGGCTTAAAGTCCCTCCCGGAGGACTTGTTCCCTGAATTTTTCCGCCCTTAAAAATTCCACGACCTCCGCCGGGTTTGAACCCGCGTGCCACGAGTCATGAGGTGGGTACGTTACCTCTAGACTACGGAGGCCGCTTTTCTTGACGTTTACCGTTGTATAGACCGCCTCAGTGGTCTAGTGGTCAAAGTTCCTGGCTACAGATCCAGAAGTCCGGGTTCGACTCCCAATGCTACCAGATTTTCTGAGAAGTAGTGGGTTTGGAGAGGGGTCCACTCAATCTCATGAGGATAATTGAGGAGCTATTTCAAGGAAGTAGCAGCTCCGGTCTAGAAAGCCGAAATTAACGGCCGTGGGGATTCGTTGCTCTGACCACGCGACACACACTATCCGCTAAATTTGGTACTAACTTCGCAGATAAGCAGCAGTAGCTCGGTCGGTATAGTTCGCTTGCGGACTAAAACCACGGAGTTTTTTGTTTTGTTTGTTAGCTTTGCATAATTTTATGCACATTTTTGGGCATATGCCAGCAGCATTTCAACGTATCCACACTACAGTTAGTTTAAACAAGAGAGAAGAGATTTACTCGTACATGCTAGAATTCGGAAAATACATTCTTTTAAATTAGCTATTTGTGCTTCTGCGTTTCCTCATCTACCTTATTTATTTACTTATTTCTGAGTTATTTTACGATGCTCTTAATAGCTCATTGTCTTCTCTTGTTCGAACACTGGGATCGTGGGTTAGAATCCCACTCAAGGCATGCATGTTCGTCTGCGTTTATTCTGTATGTGTTATCCTGTGTAGGCAGCAGCCTTGCGACAGGCTGATCCCCCTTCCAAGGAGTCCTACCTACTGTCTGTAAGATTAATAATCTAAAGTGAAATGAAGCGTTTCACGAATGCCCTATGCTTCAAGTTGGGGCAACAGGAATAAAGATAGAACATAGATTAGTAGCTCAGACTGCAACGTTAAATGAGAGGATCATTAGTGAATAACGAATTGAAAAGCATGTAGACTAAAGCGGCATTGCCTAACTTGAGGTATTATTCCGACATTTGCATGACTGAGGAAAACTACAGAAATCCTCAAGATAGTCGGTGTTGCCGAGGCTCTGGTGATTGTTGTTGATCGTAGACAAGTTTTTAAAAATCTTCACATGTAACGACTTGAGGATGAGCACATAAGGATCGAATCTTCGTGTTTTGAACTAACCGCCTCGATGTCTAGTGTATAGTGACTTTATGAGTAATTAACAAATAATCACATAACCGGCAGTTGTCACTGGGGTGTTACATACAGACGACAGATAAATGTATCCGGTAGATTAGTAGGCCGGCGAATGTCTGGGAAAGTTGTAAACATTGTGTTCTATCTTTATATATTGTTAATAGATTATGGTGCTTAATTAATTAGACATTTCATGTTCACTGTGGAGGAAAGGGTTGTATGTAGATCACTAATTCTACCGCGTATCTGAAACTTATCCAGTACTTACCTGAAACAGAAGTTTCAGTTCAGAATGATCATAAGTAAAATGGACTACTTTATATACCCATTGCAGCATCAGCTGGTATAAAGAAAACAAGTGTTTTTGAAGGATACGAATATGTCATTGTCATTGCATTGAAGGACATATACCAATTGTTTGCACTAAGAATTAATTCATGTGTTATTTGCACATAGTTTTATCAAATATTCAGCGTCACATCACACATGTGATGTCTAATTGACACATACTTTGTTCATCAGACAGGGATCCGCGAACCCATTTCAAGTATAGTCAGAAAATGTATATTGTAGCATGTAGACCCGTTACTGGGTAGCGGCCACGAACAAACAGGTTCCCACGACAAGGAATCAACACACAACAACAGAGGAACTGTTGGACGTGATGTTTCTGCGGCAAACACATCTCTGCAACAATGGGTCAGCACTCAACAATAGAAGAATTGATGGAAACAATGTTTTCTACGCGGCACGTGTCATAACGACAACAGCCGATCTAAAGGGAGAACCCTGTGTGGAGGAGCTGGGTTCGAATACCTCCACCGTAGCCCAGCGATTTGTAGGAGGCGACGAAAGGGGAACCCAGTGCCTGGAGGTATAACTGGGCCACCCTTTTTCTGGGGGATATAAATACGGGGACCTGTCCCTCTAGGTTGGGGGAGTCTCGAATTTGAGACAGTAAAATACTGTCACGAGTCCCGCAGGACTCAAAAATGACTGAGGTGGCGAGGACCAGCAACAATTGTAAATGACGGACCCATCCTGTCGTCAGAGAGGATGTTACATAAGGATGATAGTCGCAAGTTTTCCGTTGATAAAAGTTACTGGTCATGAGTCTCAAGGGGCTTGTCACCAAGAAGAACTGATTAGCGGTAAACCGCCAGTCGTAAAGTAACCCTGACTCTGACTCTGACTCTGACTCTGACTCTCTTACTAGAGGGAGAATTGTAAGGGAGTCTGTATAGAGAAGACTTAGTCGGTTCAGTTAGCACAGAAGGTGAAGAATCTCCACTGTTAGAAGCCGGTACCAGGAAACGAGTAGTGAAGACAGAAAACTTTATGTTTGCTATAGTTACAGCGACATTTCGAGTTTGTAATTTAGTGATACTCGGTTACAGTGTAAAAATCCGTTACCAGGAAACGACTAGTAGAAGTTATAAGAGACTGAGAACACTAGTCTCAAGGCGATAATGATTTGTGAAGTGTAGTAACTAGTTGTATATGTGGTCAGTGAGTCTATAGTCACTTTATCATGTGACAATGTATACTCAGAAAATGGTTTACCTAAGAGACAGGAAGTAATACGAGGGTGTAGAAAGTGCCTTATAAGGGGCTATCACGGATGGGAGAGATGAGAGATGGCGGAGGTGCGAGCAACAGTATCCCCTTTCAATATAGAGTTAGGGAATTATGAATGGCAATAGATTTTGTTAAAATTTGACTTCCATCGGTGTTCTTATGCAAATATAGGTGACAGTGACTGCACCAAAACTGTCTTTGGCTTCCAATCTGACAGTGAACTTAATAAACTAAACGGGAGGTTTCATCGTTTGTTAAATAATTTCTCTTACTATTGAGTCCTTGATTGACCGCCTCTGTGGTCTAATGGTCAGAGTTCCTGGCTACAGATCCAGAAGTCCCGAGTTCGATTCCCGGCGCTACCAGATTTTCTGAGAAATAATGGGTCTGGAACGGGGTTCACTCAGCCTCGTGAGGATAACTGAGGAGCTATTTCAAGGAAATAGCGGCTCCGGTCTAGATTGATTAATTTAAAATCCACGTTTGACTTAAGACATAAATTTTCATGTCGACTTTTGTCTCCATGTTCTCGAATTTCGCTTTTCACCGTTGAGTTCCCAATAGTATGGACATAATTAAGAACATTCTTTGAAAAGTTTTCCATGGTTTATTTCGCGAGTTACGCGAGATTTCTCGGCGTCTAATTCACGTGCTACTTCACGCACAGGTCGGGAGAATTCGAGGCCCTTCTCATTCGAAGCAAGGCTGTTTCATCTCGCGAAGTTAAGCAATTGTTTCTACATACTTTCTATAAGACATCCCTCCCAAAAGAAAGATAAGCGATGTCAGTAATGCGGGTAGAAATGTAAAAGCTATGAGGGGAAAATAGTAATAAAAGAACTCCGTGGTCTGTAGTCCGCAAGCGAACTATACCGACCGAGCGACCGCCGTTTGTCGGCGAAGTTAGTGCCAACTTTTGCGGATAGAGGGTGTCACGTGGTCAGCGCAACGGATCTGACCACAAGACCACAGAGGCAGTCGGAAAATAGTAATAGGCCTGTATAATTCATGATCAGGTTGGTCTCGAAGGAAGTTCCTTGACCTTTATTGTTTCAAATTTCGGCCCGGATAGAGGCTATTGAGTTTTCAGTGAGTTTCCTCAATCCTTCCAGGCAAATTCCGGGGTTGTACCTCGATCAGGCCACAATCACTTCCTGCCAAATTTTTCCAGTTCATTATTCATTATATCAATATACGAATACAGGGTGTTTCACGACTTTAGGGCATAACTGCAGGAGGTGATTTCCTAGGTCTTTGTGATCAAAAAAGTTCATATAAACATGTGTCCGATTTTGGACGGTTACGGAGTTATGACCGTTTTTTCATTCCCCTACACGCCCTCGTGTGAACCGCGTCTGTCAGCTGGTGGGTCGCTATTTTCAGCCAGCTACAGACAGAGCGTTCTCGTTATCTCGACACTTGAGATGTACCTAAGNCGGACACATGTTTACATGAACTTTTTTGATCACAAAGACCTAGGAAATCACCTCCTGCAGTTATGCCCTAAAGTCGTGGAACACTCTGTATATAATCAATACTTTCGACGCTATATGGTCTGTACACCTACAACGTCATTGAAATATACAACAAATATTGAGGGATGTATAATCTCCATATGTATTTATCATAGTCCATTAGTTTATTTGTAAATTTTGCTATACTGATCGTCTCAGGGTCATATCTCACCAGTACTGATATGTACTTTGCTACAGTTTACATAATGTTGTTGTCACTAGCTCAGACAATGTAGCTTCGAGAAGTAGGATAGTCAATGAATAATGAATTGGGAACGTTGAGGAAGGTAACAATTTTGCCCGAATTTGAGGCACTGTCAACGAATTTCCCTGGAGGGCCGGGTGAAAACCGCGAAAGTTTTCACCAAGATGAACCGATCTATTGGTAGAGATTTGAACGCAGAACCTTCAGAATACGAAGTAGGATTGCTTCTTACTCTACCGTGGTATGCGGTGTAAGTACAGAGATTTGCTATGCATGTAGCATGAAGTGAGATGTGTTGTAAATTTATGAAACAACTCTGTTTCAAGAACGTCATATCAGAATATACAGAGGAATCTCAGATCTTTTGAGATATACACCTGACGTGCAGGCATATTAATTCTTTCATTGTTATATTTGCATGTAGGCTTACCTTACTCTGTTCTTTTTACTTCTTACGTTTGTTGATATTTCTGCTTCACTCTGTGTACGTAATTTAATTGAGAAATTCCATCGCAACCATCTTTAGCATCGCAGGAGACGATTGTGAGGTATGCATCCCTTTTTTTTTATAGCTAGTGGGGTGGGACTAAGTCCCTTGTACTGCGGCCACTTCTGGGCTATTGTACCAGACCCAGAAGATAGATGAGGGTGATTGTGGAGCAATTGGTGGAGTGAAGATTAGCAGGGGAAACCGAAGTACTCGGAGAAAATCTGCCCCAGCGCCATTTTGTCCACCACAAATCCCACTTGACCAGACCCGGGATCGACCCCGGGCCGCCGCGGTGGAAAACCAGCGACTAACCACTTGAGCTATGGCGCGGCCCTAGGTCTAGCCTTAGTCTAGCTTTTGTTATGCACGCTCTCAGTGCTCGCCTGTTGCAGACACTTAAATAAAGGAATTGAATCAAATTATCATCATCATCATCATTATCATTATCATTATGAACAGTTAAACACTTGATGACGATTCAGAACATTCAATTTAAGCCTAATCCGACAGTGTGAACAGAATTTATACTTAGACCAAGTAATAGTACCACTATTACTACTTTTGTTGCTGCTGACAGCAAGAACAGTATTTTCACTAATTTGAAACGTAATTAGGACTGGAAACAATAAAGAATTCTTGACTCTAGTAGGATTCAATCGTTGACCGGTCGGTACATGAACCCAGCACACATAATCTAAATACATTAACGACACAGGATTTGTAAGACTGAAAGTTTGTGTAGTAGGAAAGTGGACTTTGAAAAATGTTCCCGGAACCCCTTGATTATTTTATTTTTACATCTGGATCTAAACTGCTTAGAATTATGAAAATGAGAAGGAATGTTTTTTGGATGAAGGAAATGGACATGGAATATTTGAATGTTTTGTTATATATTTCGCCTGGCAGAGGCTAAAGGAAATCATTAAGAATTTCTTTAGGATAGTCGAGTCTACGGCGGAGATTCGATCTCTCAAACACAAATCTTCCCGTTCCTTTACCACCCTCCTCTCTCTCTGTTCTGCGCTAAATAATCTATTCAGCTGAAATAACTATAACTATAGCTTCGTGGCCTGTAGTCCGCAAGCGAACTATACCGACCGAGCGACCGCCGCTTGTCGGCGAAATTAGTGCCAACATTAGTGGATAGAGGGTGTCACGTTGTCAACGCAACGAATCCCCACGGCCGTTAATTTTGGTTTTCTAGACCATAGCCGCTATTTCCTTGAAATAGCTCCTCAGTTATCCTCACGAGGCTGAGTGGACCCCATTCCAAACCCACTATTTCTCAGAACATCTTGTAGCACCGGGAATCGAGCCCGGACCTCTGTATATGTAGCCAGGAAATGCAGCTGAAATAGGTCATTAAATTACTCACAATTCAAACGAGGAAAACTGTGAAATCTGAGAACATTATTATCTCGGATGCAGTAACACAGACGAAGCAAGCATTAGAACCTTGAACAGGCAGCCTTAGACAGTGATCGTGCAGGCCTTTAAGCTTTAT